TTCTTTCTTTCTTTCTTTCTTTCTTTCTTTCTTTCTTTCTTTCTTTTCTCTCTCTTTCTCTTCTTTGTCTTTACCTTTCCTTCCTTCCTTCTTCCTTCCTTCCTTCCTTCCTTCCTTCCTTCCTTCCTTCCTTCTTCTTACTTTCCTACTAACCTATTTGCTCCTTCATTCATTCATTCAACTTGTTTGCTGCCTATCTCACTGCAAGTTGACTTTGGGCGATGGACAACATCAACATAAAACCACAAATAGCAGTAACAAACGAATAAAATCACAGCAAAAATACAGATTGGAACTAAAACCGAAGGATGGGGGGGAAAGGAGCCAAGGTGGATGGGTGGGAGGAAGGAGCTGCTCTTGGTCAATCAGATTTTGTGACATTGAGCAGGACTGAGGTAGAGAAGAACCAGCCTTCCAATATTTGAGGGGCTGCCACAGAGAGGATGAGGGAGTCAAGCTATTTTCTAAAGCACCTGAAGGCCAGACAAGGAACAATGGATGGAAACTGATCAAGGAGAGCGATTCAACCTGGAAATAAGGAGGAATTTCCTGACAGTGAAAGCAATCAACCAATGGAACAGAAGTTGCCTTCAGAAGTTGTGGGAGCTTCATCACTGGAGGCTTTCAAGAAGAGACCGGACTGCCACCTGTCAGAAATGGTGTAGGATCTCCTGTTTGGTTGAGGGGTTGGATTGGATGACCTAGAAGGTCCCTTCCAACTCTGATGATCTGTGATCTGTTCTAAAGAACCGAACCAAGCTTGTCGGGCTAAAATCTTTCCTAAACGGAGATGGATGAATCCATGTTCACGCCGGGCGACTGAGCTCCCTTCCCTGCCTCGCCTGACCCGCCGTCATCCACTCCTCCATTGTCCTGAATTTCCTCCCAGGACCAACCTGGGCCACCCCAGCCCAACAGCATCAGAGGAAGACAAACAGGAGACTTATCTGGCCTCTGCAGCCTGCCGTCACCCTTCCCCTCTCGGAGCCCTTCTAGAAAAATAACCGATGGGGACAAGACACCGAAGGGAAAAATAAGTAAAGAAAGACCCAACCTCGTGGCTACACAGGATTCTGTTTATGTTATTCCCCAGGCGCCAAAGAGCTCTGTGTGAGCTGAGCTCAGAGAAAAAGCCGTGAGATTAGATCAGCCTGGCGACAGGAGCAAAGCCAACGGAGACTGGATTCTGCCCTGGGTGGCACCTTCTGACCTCGCCACAGGGAGGTTGAACAAGGGGGCGAGGAAGGAGAGGTTACCACTGGTAGGAGACCCACTACCTCTGGACCAGGGCGTGGTTTGTGGTGGCCAGAGAAAGCCGCCTCTCGAAACCTCCGGTTGAGTTGGAGGTGCACACCAGGCAAAGCTTGCTGGCTGAGCAACACTTCCAATCCTCGGTCTTTTTCAACAGAGGCTACCCATTGGACCCCTGGAGCCCACTCCAGGTCAACAGGGCCGGCCGTGGTGACACGGGGGCTGGTGTTTTGGGACATCGCTCTGATCTTGATGTGGAATGATAACCGTGACCCCAGAATGACAACGGGATCATCGGGGATCATTGGGGAAGAGGAGGCTGGTGATGCCTTGAAAATGTTAAGGCACAAAAAGGACAGTCAGGAAAGAAAGTTTTTTTTTCCCCTTCTTGGTTTGGAAATGTTCTAAGTCAGATCCTTTCATTCATCCGTCAACATCGCTTTTTCTCTTTCATCCATTCACTCCATCCATCCAAATTATATATCTATTATCCATCCATGAGAATTATAACTCTATTATCCATCCATCTATATCTCTACCATCCATCCATCCATATTATATTTCTATTACCCATCCATTCATCTAAATTATATCTATTATCCATCGATCCATCCGTTATCCACCTATCCAAATTATATTTCTGTTATCCATCCATCCATATTATATCTTTGATATCCATCCATCCATTCATTTGTTCATCCATCCATCCATCCGTTCATCTAAATTATATCTCTTATCCATCGAGCCATCCTTTATCCATCCACCCAAATTATATTTCTATTATCCATCCATCTTATCTAATCTTTGTGTCTGTCTATCCATCTGTCCATCTACTGTACTAAGCTGAAGCTTCGGATCCCTTCTTTATTATAAGTTTTATATATAAATTATACACAAACAAGCACGGAGAAAGAGAGAGAAAGAAGAGAAGAGAGACAGAGAAGAGAGAAAGATATGGTGTATTTCTGTTAGTGCCACCAAAATTGCATCGACCTCGTTCGCAGCTGCCTTGGTGCCACTGGCTCCCAATTCCTGGGATTCAACATTCTTTTTGCAAGACTTCCCACTAAGCCAGACACCTCCCATTTTTATCCCCTAATCTTTATTTCTCCATGAAGAGTTTTGCTTGTGTGATTCTCTTTGTCCCACCCTCCTGAAAGCTTGTTCTGCAAATATGAGCCGCGTTCCAATCTTTTTTCTGACAATCTCACAAGCGTTTCTTCCACCAATACGCCAAACAACCCAACACGTCGTTGGGGATGGGAGTAAAAACAGATGACTCCTTGCATTTTTTGCACCGAACTTCTTCCTGGAAGACTTAATTCTGCATTCTTACAAAGCATGGCTTTTAAGCTATTTCTCTTTCTTTCACTTTCTTCCTCTCCTCCAGATTTGGAGATTGGAATGTGAACAATGTGTTAGAGAGGGGGGGAAACAAAGCAGCAATTTTGAATTCTTCTTCTTCTTCTTCTTCTTCTTCTTCTTCTTCTTCTTCTTCTTCTCCTCCTCCTCCTCCTCCTCCTCCTCCTCCTCCTCCTCCTCCTCCTCCTCCTCCATCTCTCTGCCTCCCTCCCAATCATTTTAAATGATATTTCCCATGAGAATTAGGTTTCACCCCTCCCCAAGTTCCCATCTGCGCTCTCCAAACAGCTGGATTTCATCCAGTCTCCAAAAAAATGTTAGAGTCACGTTTTCAATTTCTTTTCCTCATTTTTTTTTGATGGTGAGTGGGCAAAAATAGAGAATTTAGCAGTTTCATTCCCAATTGAATTACATCGTCAGCTACAGAAGTTCCTCTTTTGGATTTTCTCAGCCTCAAGCAACTCAGACATCATGTGGGGAAAACTGTGTCCTACCTTACAAGGTTGTTGTTAGCCTACCTTAAAGGGAGTGTGAAATTTTTTCACATTTCCAAATGTTTCCTCCCTCCTCGTAGCAAGCTGCCTTCCGACATTTTCTTTGAGGAGGAAAGAAATTGTACACTTTTCCCTCATGGTCTTTTAACATCCTAATTTCCAGGTAAACCCCTCTCCAAATTAAGATATTCAACTGAGAGAAATTGAGTAGCGCTACTAGAAGAGGTAATTCAGCGCTATCACCTTCGGAAGATCAACTAAGCAAATTTGGGTTTAATTGGCCCCCTGTAAAATTGTTCCTTTTTCCGATTTCGAGCCGCGTGGAGCGTGTTTTAAATCCTGCTTTGCCCAATGTGGTTTTACCGGATCCCCAAACCGCTTAATTTTGTGTTTGTTTTTACGAAGAAGAATGGCTTGAAAATATTTTTCCTCTGTCCGTAAAATAAACATTTCTAAAATTGAAAGGAATATTTCAAATAATGCAGGCACACTCTTAAAAATCTGACAAGTTAGTCCCATTTCACATCA